ACCTGAGCTAAAGCTGAAAGCAGAGCAAAGTAAGTCTGCCTTTTGTTTAAATTAAAATTGTTAGCCTATAATAAGACATTAGCACATACTGAGACATATTTACAGCCAAGATGGTGAAATGGACATAAAACATTGTGGGTCCCAAGGTGGTTTGACTTGGGTTGCTGACCCCTGGTATACACAGATATACATTTTGTTACCTTAACTATAAATTTCAATTGCTGATAAAGCAAAACATTTAAGTGCAAATCATTTGAGTTTCATTGGAGTTTTTTTCATTAAAATGCATTTCATGAACTCCAGTCCATTTTACATAAAGCAATTACTTAAAGGCAGCACAATTAATTTATTTAATGTCAACATACTTTCAGTGTGTAAGTCCCACAAACCAGTTGTAGTGAGTGCATGCAGTACAGCTCCAGCCTTCATCTCTACTCTCCCCTCTTCTTTTATGACTGTGCGGATACGAATATGATGTAGATCATTTGAATTTTTGGATGACTAAAGAGATGAAAATGTCTTTCACCGCACTTCTCAAACATTTTCTCTCCATTAATGGTAATGTGTTCCTGTATAGCCCTAAGGGTGCAGTGCGGTATTTCATGTGAGTGAACGGTTTTGAGATCACTGCCTGGCCTGTGGTTTGGATGGTAGCATATATTCAAATCACATCCAGCATTTTTCAAGCATGATTAACATATACTAGGGGTTGAATCTGGTCTCTAGCAGGCTAATGGATTTAAAACACCTCATTATTGTCATTTGTACAGTTGTACATGGTATCAATTTAAGGCTTTAAACTAGACATGTAGTTATATGTGTATTAATAATTCTCTTCCCTCTGCGCTACACTCAAATCATTCCAATTAATAAGGTATATAAACTTTGTTAACAGACATTTGCAACAGTTTTAAGATGGTCAACTCAAATAGTTTCACTTGGCTCTGGTAAGTTATTGCACTAGAAAGTTTATGTGTTCACTAAAACACCTAGTAAATGTTAAGTGGTTGCCTAAAAGAAGAACGAATTTCGTAACCAGCCTATCTGAGGACTACAGATCATAACCCTGTGCAGCAAAATCCCCTCTGCTGAACAAACACCTGTAGTGCTCAATTAACATTACAGGGTTGAATTATCTCTTTCAGTAATGAACGAAGAACAGTCTTTAAATTTTCCTCATTTTATTTTAATAAAAGTGTTTGATGTGTACTGCGATGGACTGGCGACCTGTCCAGGGTGTATCCTGCCTTCCGCCCAATGACAGCTGGGATAGGCTCCAGCACCCCACCGCGACCCAGAAGGATAAGCGGTTTAGATGATGGATGGATGGATGTTTGATGTGTAAACATGAAAACATTTTTGAAGTATCACAATATACCATTCACTCTTCAATCCATATATGGGAACTACGCTGCAAAAATGTCCTACTCATTGTTGAATTCATTGTTTTTATGATGTCACAAAAACTAGCATATTTACCTATATGCACCTATTCAGCCAACAGCATTTTATCCACACTGAAGTTATATGAAGTGTTTGAGTGTAGAATGCTTGTTGAATAAGGCACAGTACATGACAGCCAATAAGAACATACGTAATTTCCATATATCAGTCTTAAAGGCACAGTAACAAGGGATAAAGAGAGGCTGAAAAATGGTCATGTGAAAATGAATTATGTATGTTTTCAGTGCATAAAATACACACTCCTACAACCAAACAACCAAATACATGGAAAAAACGAGAATGTGGGCCCTTTAACCTTCTACAGTGTTTAATGAAGGTATTCTTCTACAACCTTCATTTCATTTAAAGAGGCCAATGTCCTGAGAGTCCACGTGATTTTGCTGTGTACATTATATGCAGAGCCTAAACAATTCAGAATGATGAGCAGCAGTGAACTGATTCCCTCTTTTCTCCTAGATGAGATGAGTGAGCCTGAACCCCCCAACCCCCGCCCCCCTCTCCGCCCCCTCCTTGCCCCGTCCGTCCCTCCTTTCTCTAGTCGAACATATGAGATGAGGCAGAGGAGCAGGAGAGGTGAGAGGCAAGGTGAGCAGAAAGTTTGCAGAAGGAATCGGTTTATTAAAGCATCTTAACTACAAGACAGTACAGAAGAATCCCTCCATCACGCGCGCGATGGAGAAATGAGGAGCCGCGATCTGGACTGAGAGTTTCCTCGCACTGAAATGTGAGGAGATCGTATGTGCAGATCAGTGCGCGCTGACCGGAACATGACAGCTGAATATAAACGGTAAGCCGCATTGACGCTCTTTTGTTGATTAGTTTTGACTGACGTCGCGAACTAACTAAAAAAAAGTCTGAATTACGACATTCACTCACTTCAGAATCTTTTCTCCTCGCTGTTACGAAGCTTTGTCGTCTGTTCTCTGTTATTTCTACAGTCTCTGACGCAAAAAGCTAATAGATTCGTCTTTTTGTGCTCAGGGCTTTTAAACTGGAGATTTTACTAATGTTCAAAAAATGTTTTCTGTCTATTGATTCTTCGTGAAAATAGAAAAATATCTATTTAAGAGCAATCATTAAAAACTCAAGAGAAAAGTGTCTGTATTATTATTTTATTATATTTCAATATTGCACACAGGCTACCACCAGCATAGCTGCTTGGCCAGCTTATATATATTATCAGCTTTATATCTCTAAGCTAAAGGCCTCAGTATTAGCATACTTCAATACAAGATATTTAGCTTGGTGTTAGAGTTTAGAATGTATTTATTTGGTCTATTATTCGTTTAGATTCTTCTAATACATAACTAAAATACAATAAAGCAACGACTCTGTGTGTTTAGTAAAACAGTGCTAAACTAAACATTTGAATAGAAAGTTGAATAGAAATAGAAGCATAGAAAGTCTCACACTGTTTTTTTTATTTTACACTCTCAGAAATAAAGGTATGAAACTGTCACTGGGGCTGTACCCCTCGTGTTACTGGGGTGGTACCCTCAAGGGTACATCTCAGTACCTTTAGTCAGAGAACATAACTGTAAAATAATCGGTTGAAATTTCATTATACTAATAGTAAGTTGTATTGACTCCACATGCCCCGTCTAGTCTCCGGGCTTTTTATTTTATTGTTCTTTTTTAAAACATTACATTTTGAAAAGGTACAAATACATACTTTTACACTGAGAAAAAAATTATTTAAGGTAGAAAATTGGACCTTAAAACCACTGTTGTACCTTTGAGGGAACATTTACATTGTTTGTAGCTTGATGAATGAAAAATGTACCTGCACAGTATCTTTCACATTTCTAACAGTGAAATGTTCATTTTGACATGAATAAAATGTGTTACAACACAGTTCTTGCCTAAAGAAGAAAACAGAAAGACAGTGACTGTGTTGATGCAACACGTTTTACTCATGTTCAAACACTTGACACATTTAAAAGCAGATTTTTTTGTCACTGTGAGAAGCACCTTTCAGATCTGAAGCAAATTAGCAAATTATTAACCCATGTCTGCGCTCCGTTCTTCAGGAGCTCTTTAGCCTGGAGGGAGGGCCACCATGTGCCACATACTACCCCCCCAACACCACTTGTAAATTTGCCCCCAGACTTGCCTTTGATCTTCTCCCAGATAGAGTTACAGAGCTCTCACACAGGGGTCCTGATGGGAATGTAAGGGTATAAACGGTGACAAAGTGGCTATTTACAGCTTATCCATAATGCTAAAGATGGTTCCCCATCTAAATTAAAAGCCTTTGTCTAATAGCAAGGCTCAATATTAATTTAGAGAGTTACACACCCAATTATAAACACTGCTGATCCTACAGTGATTGATTTTAGTCACAAAAATTACAGTTTCATACATCTGAGCCTAACATATGATAATAGATTGATTAATTGATTACTAAAGTGAAAAAGGCAAGTGGTGTGATGGAAAAAAGGTGAGACTGACCACCATAAATTCAGACAGACTGAGTTAGTTTACCAGCATTTCACAAGTGTGTGAAGAAACTATTGAGTAATTTAGTAAGAGAGTGATGCACGAGTCCCCCACCGACAGGACAGATGGATGTCACTGAATTGCTACTAATGCCAGTAGAACATAAAGCATCACCAGAGCTCCAGAGGAATGATGAATTTGAGTAGTCTGAAGGCCATAATATAATAAACAAGTCTTATATATACAATTATGTAATGGTACTCGATGGTAATAGATCACCAGGGGTTACCAAGTCTGGTTCTATTCATCTGGTATCCTGGAGAGTTTAGTTCCAGCTCACCTAGCAGTCCTTGAATCAGGTGTGTAGATCTCCAGAATGGCAGATTACCACACTTTTTTAAAGAAAAGGTGTCACAAAGCATTCTTTGAGTGATGCCATAGAAGAAAAAAACACTTTTTGTTGCCAAAGGAACCATGTTGGCAAAGCTAATTTGTGCGAAGAACAATTAAAAGTCTTAAAGAACCTTCTCATAATGTAAAGGTTAAACTTAAGGGTTCTTTTCTCAAACCTTTACATTACGTTTACATTTTTAAATGGTTCTTCACACTCACACATCTCATTTACAAAAATGATCCAAGGTTCAAAAGTTCTTCAAGAAGCTAAAAATGGTTCTAGTATGGCATCACCTGCAATAACCCTTTTTGGCACCCTTATTTTTAAGAATGCAGGACTGGACGTGGGCAGCTCTGGTGTACATGATACTCTTTCTGTTGTAAATGTACTTATTGAAATGTGAAAACTACCATATGTATTTTGTAAGTAGATCTTCATAGATTTTAAAATGAAGTGCCCTTAATCTAGCTAATTTCTTATCTTTAATTTGCTTTTCTTCCCCCCATTTTTGCCTTTCCATCTTGTATCTTACTTGCCCAAGTAGAGTACTAACAGCTTCTCTTCTGTAATTCTGACCCTCTAACAATCCTGTTCTCCCAACAGTCACCCCAAACTCTGTGATTAACATTTAGCATTTCACACTAACAGTTATCAACTGTTCTGCAGTCAAGTTCCTCACTGAAGCTTCTTCTGTCTAAGCCAAATGGAAAACTCTGGCTCTGTCTCCCTTCCCTCCTCCCCTTCTCCATCTTATACCTTTCCTTTCCTCCCTAACCTTTCCACACCTTCCTCCTCTCCCTCACTTTCTCCATCCCCAAGTGTAGCCTCCACAGCTCTTTTTTGCTTTTTCCTTTCACTCCTTTCCCTGCTGGGCATTCTCGGAAACCTCTACACTCTGGGGCTTGTGATTCAACGCCGCAGGGGCCCAAGAAGGAGGCGAATAGCACCTACCTGCTGTTTGACTCCTGCTTGCCTCAGAGTCTCTTCCCCTTCCCACTCTCCCACCTCCTGTCCCTCTCCCTCCTCCTCCACCTCCTCTTCCCTCCACCTGCAGGTTCTAAGTCTGGCTTTGGCGGATCTGCTCTACCTCTCCACCGCACCCTTCATCGTCTATGCCAGCTTGGTGTCTGACTGGGCATTCGGAGAGCTTGGTTGTCGGCTCCTGCTCAGCCTGGACCTGCTCACCATGCATGCTAGCATCTTCACTCTGACTGCAATGAGTCTGGACCGATACCGGGCTGTGGCCGATCCCCTGGCGGCTTCTTCAGCACCTTCCTCTGGCTTGCTCCGTGTGGCTTTAGCCTGGGGCCTTGCTGTGGCACTTACCCTGCCAATGATGATCACCCTGCATCTGGAAGATGGGGAAAACCAGGAGGGAAAGCTATGTGTTCCAGCATGGGATGAGCAAAGTTCCAAAGCATACCTCAGTGTGCTATTCTGCACCAGTATTCTAGGACCAGGACTGGCCATAGGGGGTCTATACGCAGCCCTAGGAAGGCTCTACTGGGTTTCTCAGACACAGCCTGCCTGGGCTGGAGGAAGTAGTGCCTATCCGCCCCGTGCCCCACGGCCCAAAGTCCTGTTGCTCATCTTGGGAATTGTGCTCACTTTCTGGGCCTGTTTTCTCCCGTTCTGGATCTGGCAACTACTACCGCTGTATCGACCAGATGTTCTACGTGTGGTACCTGTAGGCACACAAGTTACTGTGAACCGTATCTTGACCGGACTAACGTACGGGAACTCATGTGTAAATCCATTTTTCTACACGCTACTGACAGGCAAGCGGCAACGGACCAGCAGGCAGACAACAAGCGCCGCCGCTCCACTCTGCCAAAAAGGCAGTTCTGGTCACCAATGAAAATACTCTTCATTTTCTATGAATAAGTGCACTCTTTGCAGCTCTGTCCACCACTGCCAGCACTCCAGAGGACTTTATTCACTAGTGAGATTATACATTATATTGGCAGTTAAAATGTTCAAATCATAGCTTTATTAGTGCAGGCAGATATATTAAAACCCAGTTGACTGAGTTTAGCAGTCTCCAAGGTTTTGACAGAGTGAAGTAGAGGGAAATATACCGTATTGTGCAAAAGTCTTAGGCAGCTACAAATATTGCTTAAAACTATTTATTTTGGCAATATATGTGCTTTTACAGGTAGAAAAACCCCATAACATTAGAATAAATACAAATACATGCATACGTACATGCAGCAAAAAAGTTTTTTTTTGTTTGTTTTTTTGTTTTGTTTTGTTTTCATTTACTGATTTAATTTCCCTCATTATTTTAATTTAATGAAGGACTAATTAGCTGAAGCAGGTATTGGCTGATAAATGTAAATGCTGGACTACTTTAAAGAGAGATTTGGAAATAACACGTTCACACACATAAAATCACATTATTGCTTATCTGTATTTATTCTAATGTAGCTGTTTTTAAACAAATGAATGCTCATGGACTAGGTAAATGGCTTCCTGTGTCATTTTCTTAGATGCTTAAGAATTTGCACAATACTGTGTGTTTGAGACTCGTTTTTAAGCTTAGCTTGCAATCAGCTGTTCATCACAAGGCCTGTCCTAGGACATTCATCAACTCATTGTGACACATTGGTGGACTAAAGTGTAGACAACATCTGTTTAAGGAGACACCAAAGAGGCAGCATTAAAGGAACAACGCAAGCTTTGTCATGATTTACAAGTTGCTCAAGGGGGATTTTCACTACAGGTGTGAACCGTTTAGAAACCAAATTGGTTTATTAGTCTAAATGAAGGGGACCGCCATATATCTGAATTTGGCTTAAAGCTAAAGGACAATTCCCATTGGAATGTGCTCTTTGAAGAGGATAAATCATAGTTGAGCAAACAATCATGCCCCTTCTTTTTGTTTTCATATATGTTATATATGTGTGGCCAAATTGTTCTGCTCACTTTTTCTGATTTGCCAGTTTTTTTTTCAATTGCTGTAAAGGTGTTTTTCTTTACTGTTACTACAGTATTTCAAAGCTGCACATTTATATTGCTAAATCACTTCCAATCTGTGCATATATTCATATGAAAAGGTATATGTGAGTGTGAAAATCAGCCCACCGTGTTCTACTGATCATCTTTGAAGGCTTTGCCCTCACTGAAAATATTTCTTTTGAAAATGTTCGAAACATTCTGAAACATATAAACATTCTGAAAGCTAAACTGTATTTGAGAGCTGGAGGCATCTACCAATAAGGCACTTTTGTACTTGGTATCCAAAACCTTGACCCTTCAAAGCCTCAGACTTTGAACAGTTATTTCTTTTTTCCCAGTGAACTGCACTGTGTTTCGTTCTGCTTTTTTATGCATTGCTTTGCACGAGATATAGCATTTATATACATGCATTTGTGGGGCATATAATAATATATAGTCATGAATAAAGATACGCTTTACATACCAAACCAGTGGAATCATTCATGGTCCTGTGTTCTCAAATGTAAAGGGCAAGATGATTTTCTAACTCATATTTTCTGACAAAAGCAAAAAGAAAATGATACTGCACAGAACCGGTTATTATATTTAAAACATGACAAATAAGAGACAGCATGTAAACAAAATAGGAAATAAGCTTTAGTTAGAAAACGTCATTCATTTATCATTTATTTGATGTATTCATCAATTTTACCCTATGCTGAATCTATGCTCTGTCAGTAATTCACCTTTTGCATATTGTGAGTCTGTGACAGTGCAGTAACTGGATTTAGCCATGTTTACTGGAACTTAACTGAGTTGCACCATCTTAGAATATATGGTACATGGGATGATGAGATGAAAAGACTAGTTTAAGGGAGATGTACAGATTGTTCCATTTTATTTTTCAGAATTTCCAGGAAGATGCATTTGAATCATTTTGGATAAAAAGGGAGTTCTTCAAGGGTGATTTAACAAAGCCTCTCCACTGTTATGTACACAAACATGGCACCTCAAAAAAACATTTGAATACTTAAAAGGTTCTCTGCATGGTTAAATAGTTCTTCTCCATGATGGATAGCCTTTTGTATTTACTATACTGTGCAAAAGCCAGAGACCGGCCTTCATTTATTTAAATTCCAGTCACAACAGCTATTAAGTACAAATTATTCATTTTTTTAGCATTAGGAACAATGGAATATAATACATGTTTTCAGCTGTGGGTGTTTCCACTCTTTGTCTTTATTACAGCTTCCTTCTTTTCCGGAGACTTGCTTTCAGTTTTTCAAAGAAATCTGCAGTAATATTTTTCCACTTCTCCAAAGTTCAGCCTTAGAAGTTTGTTGTATTTTCTGTTTCTCACAATCCAATTAATTCCAAACACATTCAGTGATGTTTAGGTCTGGACTTGAGTGGACAGTCGATTATTCTGAGAACACCATCAGTTCCTTTGTTTTGATTTGTAAATGTTCTTTATTGTCTGTTTCATTTACTCATTCACAGCTTCTTGACAGCTACACATCCTTTCAGACTCATAGTGTTGAGTTGTTCTCTCACAGTGGAAGGATGGACAGACACACTTGTGATTTTTTTCAGATCTGAAGCAAGAGTGGAGCTTGATTTTCTCCTCTCTCTCTCAAAGAAGAGAGTTTTCAGTACTGTTAACATGAAGGTGACAGGTTTGGTGGTCTACAGTCTTGCATGGCTGTTTTCTCAGTATCTTTCAAACATTTCTTTAACTTCAGTTTTGGAAACTCATATTTCATATTTTCTTGTGACTTAGATTATCTTCTATCTAATGTCCTCAGAAATATCTCCTGAGAAGGGTGGTCTCTAAGTTTTACACAGTTTATGTAGTTCTTTAAGAAACATTTAAAAAATGGTTCTATATTACAATATGGCTTTATTGTGCTATTGGTACAATTCATAGAACCTTTACTATAACTTTACTATAACTCTTTAGAACCCTTTTTGTTGAACCGGTGACCCACCACCATGCAGCTGTCTGTAATCACATGTAAATGTCTGCACTATACTACTTTTTGTCCATGCTCTGCCTGAGATGTTTGTATGTGATTGGTGTGTGTGTGCGTGTGTGTGTGTGTGTGTGTGTGTGAGAGAGAGCTCCTGTGTGTGTGTGTCTTGTCTGTGCATGTTAGAATGGCAGCACTGTGTCAGGCTGCCTGCTGAATTCTGATACACAAGAGCAAATATTGTTTGACAGAGTGAGGACTGTGAAGGTATATATATGTGTGTGTGTCTTAATCTTTGTGTGTGCATATGTGTGTTACATGGGGGTCCAAGCCGTTGGGTTTTTGAAGTCTGTGGGGAAGATTATGTCAAGGCAACAAGGACAATAGACTGACTTGGTAATAGCACAGGGGATTGGTAGTGTTTTCTAAAACAGGAAATATGAAGAGAATGTAAAACAAACAAAGATCACATAGATGAAAAGGCTGTGACACCTCTATTATAGCAACAGTCAGATTATAATGAATAAAGGGACAACATTGTGACAGCTCTGTACCAGCAACGTTCACATCATCTGAACAAATGTAGGACATAGTGATTAAAGAGTACTCAAACAGCTCAAAAAATGTATTAAGAATTTATCTCAAAACTACAAGCTAGACAGTGTGGATAACAGAAGGGGTTTTTTAATGAGTTACTTTCAAAACTTTACATTAATACGTAGATATTATATATATATATATATATATATATATATATATATATATATATATATATATATATATATATATTTCGTCACTGTCCAAAGAAAGTATCTCCAAAACAGGAACTTTACAGGAGAAGGCAAAAACACTCTTGCCTTTAATGTAAGTCAATATAAAACGATTTTATTCCAAGTAATTTTTGAGCATTTCTATTGGCCCATGCATCATGAAATGTTCACACAGCGTGAAGGACAGCTGGTGTGTTGAAATGATGTAGAAAAATAAAAATCGACAAAAATTTAGATACATGGTTTTCTTTGGACAGCGATGATATAGGCCTACATATCATTGTGGGATAATTAAAGGGGATTTTCAAAAAACAATCATCATTCACAGGAGGGCTATATGATATCAATAACATCTATTTGAAAAACTTTACTGTTTCATGTTGCTACTACGATTTGTCCTGGGGTATTTTAATTGAACCCTTAATGTTTCATGCATTATTTTTGACCAAAATTATTTGACCCTTTGATCACATGACATATATGAAATAATGAAAGATTTCTTTGCTTGGTGGAATGTGATGTGGTGACTAATGGGTGATACGGGTCTAGCACACTAGCACAAAGACCAATAGTACAGTTGTGGCTGTGCCGTTTCATTTTCATGATGCATGAGAATTCAACTGATTGGCAAGTTAAAAAAGAGAAAAAATCTCCTGGCCTTTACGATTTGTAATGAATACTTTGAAGGTCTAAAAGAAAATGTTAAAAGCAAAGAACATTTTTTTCTTTCGAAATTTAATTGAGTGAAGTATTCAATTTTAATGATACTCAAATAAAATGCAGCTTTTCCAAAATAATACTATAGTACAATACAGTACTATCACAAAGAACAGTTACTCAAGTTTTTTCCACCCTTGCAATAATACCCCTTAGAAATGCTTATCTGGAACATCTGGCCAGGATGTGTGCAGCTCATTCAATAAACAAAATGTAGCTTATTTGCATATCGCAATTTGAACAATAATAGTATTATAAAAGCCAAAATCATCTACTATAATTAAAAACATAAATTGTGCAGCCAACATGTACAGTGGAGTGAAGTGCAAGAGCTTTGATCTGTTTAAATGTAGCTTCTGCTATTAGCGCAGAGTTCAGTGGATGGTGCGTTGGAACCTGGTGCACAGAGTGCTGTACGTCTTTCTTCTTTTTCCCCACTCCGTTTCATCTCTGCCATATGTTTC